TGCCTCTTCAGCCCGTCGCCTTCGGTATTATTTCGGTCACACGCGGGTCAAAACAGGGGAGGGGTGCAGTGCAAGGTCTGGCGAATGGAGAGGACGAATTAGGGGGAGCATGGCTAGAGCTCGCTTACACTTATGGCTGTTGAAAAGAGTCGTATGCATCTGCTCTTTCTGCTTTTCGCAAAAGTGAAATGGTCCATGCACCGTTACACGTTTATCCTAACCGAGAAAGGGGATGTGAAAAGCGTGCACTAGAGTTAGCATCGCCAGAACCAGATGTAGTTAAAAGTGCACGCTTTATTAGAGCAGTCTGCAAGGTCTGAGGAAAAACGCTTACGAACTCATCACATCATATCAAAACCATCAGTGATATCGCATAAACGGATAAACACGTGAAGCTCTTCCGAGTATGGTGCAAGACAGCAAGAGTATCTGCTTTTAGTTTTGTTTAAGTGAACGTTTGCCTAAGGTAAATATGGTGTGAAAATTGAGTGATAGTAGGTCATGGTACATTCACTTATAAGTGTATGTCAACCAAAAAGTAAATAGACAAACTGAAAAATGTTCTGTGTTTTAAAGACATATGTTCTCCATTGCACAAGCTGTTTTATCTTCAGATTGACAGTGTTCTGTCGGTACAGCGTTTGACTATAGTGACATGTTAATTTCCTCGGAATTACGCCATGTATTATCTAAATATGGGTCAGCTCTTTAGATCACACTAAGCAGAAGAATAAGCAACACACCTATTCCCGGGTTATGCATGACGCTAGCCAAAACAAAAACAAAACAAAAAATCCTCGCTTACCATTCACACGCTAACAACTCTTCACTTATCTCACTTGTCTGACAGGAGCCTGGCGACGAAATCTCACCGGGGTCTAAGCGGGTCGGTCAGAGGATAAAGTATAACAAACGTGCCATTACGGCGCCATGATGTCGTCAGAATTCCTGACAAACACCGGCTGTATGTCACGCCAGACAAACATCTACTTCACGACCTCGTTATCATCGGCCGACAAATTCAACCATCCGCCAAAAGTCACATCGCTTCTTTGTCGCGGCCGAAATCGGCCTCACATCTCACCACAAATTTCACTGCGAGGTACTGCTACCCTGTGACGTCACTAGCCCACCTGCTGTGCCCGACGGTGGTCAGGGCGATCTACGGGCGATCAGCTCCCCCCCCCCCCTCGTCACAGGGCGCGGCTGTTTGTTAGTTTTTGTGAGGCTAATGATCTCATTGTGACACGCGGATAAACAGACGCGCTGGTAGGAATAGGCAGGAGCGCCGGCGCGGCCTTTACGAGCCCAGAATGGCCCCAATGCGCGCCGCTAGATAGACCTCGTGTGTATACAAGTCTGGATCGCGGCATCTTGATGGCGATGATCTCGATGGCCGAATGTAATGAAACGGAGTGGCTCTGCCGCCTGACCACCTCACAGCCGGCACGTAGACCGGCAGAAGTCACGAATAAAATGAGCCAAACGTCTACGAGGGTTCTCTGAGAGTGCTCCAAACGTATTCCGGATTCTCAGAACTAGGCTACATCAAGGATGCGACGCGGGCTTTTTAGCATGCCACTCACGCATCTGGGACGCATACCTGATTTCATTTCGTCCCGGTGAATCCGCCTGTGATCTGCCGCGCGGCATGCGTGAGAGCTCCGCTCGGCGCCTGCGTCGGTAGGCTGTACCGGCGGGCGGTGTGTGCTGCGGCACAGCCTACCTGGCGCCGCCGCGGTGAGCGGAGCGGCCGGTGCCGCGCGCGATGACGCTATCTCGGCAGGCCCCGATACGTCAGCGTCACCGAACATTTTCCCGCGCCGTAAAAAGGCACGCAAGATCGAGCGCGCGTCGCCGCGCCGCATTGTGCCGGCGCTCAGTATTCTCCGCGGCCGCGGCCGGTTGTAATCTGGTTGCGATCTGCCGCACCAGAAACACATCTGGCTCCTGACCGGCCGGCGAATTGAGATTCACCCGGCATCTGGCCGCTGTTCATGGTTTTTGTATCGCGCTTTGATCTGTGACGGGTCAGTGCGACTCCCATCCGTGGACTTCTGCGTCACGGGCGGATCTCCTCGATCCCCAGAGAGAGAAAATTGGCTGCCGGATTTGGCCGCGATCGGTCCCGATTTAGCCGCAGATCAATCACCCGTGAAACCTGACCTCTGGACGGCGCGGTCGGGGTGAGTGGCCGTCACCTGCGCCTCCCTCCCCGTTATCTCCCCCAGTTCCGGCAATTACAGTGCCGGCTACAAAACAGCCGCCGAGATACCAAACACCGCGGGGAAGGACAGGCGCGTGCGGCGTTGACGCTCGAGACGGCACGCATGCGGCGGGGGACGCCCGAAGACGCCCTCTCCCCGCGCGGCGCGTGCGGTGGGGACGTCGCAAACAGGCTGCGTCTCCACCTCGCTTCATTAGCGCCGCGTGCGTCGCCGTTCGAGTGAGGTCCCCGCCGTCGGGGTTGGGGTAGAGCGAGGGAGTTCGCCCTCTCCTCTGGTGGGCGGAGCGGAGAGGAACCCCGACAGGGTGGAGAGGTGGACACGGGACGGACACCGGCAGCTGCTCGGAACACCGCCGGCCCGGCCCGGATCCGGAAACGATCAGAGCCGGCGGCCGCCTTGTTAACACGCGCCGCGCGCCAGGTGGGCAGTTGTGCGTGTCTGAGACGCCCCAGACAGCTGCATGATGGCAGGCGGTTTGACAGCTCCGCCGCCTCCTCTGCCGCTCGTGCTGAGCGCCTGTCAAAAACCTCATACCTCGTGCTGCAGTGACATGGACGCGCGTGTCAAACGCGCCCGTCATACGCGGCGCACACGTCAGCTGCGGCTGCTGACTGGCCTTTGAAGGCGGGCCGACGTGAAATGGACCTTTCCCACGACACGGCGGCTCTCCATCTCGGTCCGATGCAGCCCGATGTCGCCGACAGGCGGACAAACGTCTTGGCGGCGCTATCAGCAGGAGGCGTCCGCCAACCGACCAGCCAACATCCCGGCAGCCGGGGTCGTCCAAACTACACGACAAAATGGGCTGTAGCAAAGATTGGCCGCAGGGGAACTAGCTGGGCTGTCGCATGACTAGCGATTTCAGTGTCTAATCGGTAGACAAAAAAAAAAATGTCTGAAGTGAGATCAAAAGAGAAATGCACTTATCATCGATAAACCACTAACGATCTGTTTCCTTCTACCATTAGTTTAGATTCGCTTCGAATGCTCGAATTATTCTAGCATCAATGAATCTCTCGAGTCGTCGAAGAGCCAATTTGCAAACTTCTTACTTCATTCCGCAAGTTTCTCAAACGGTTAAAAACATACCAACATAACTTTCAAATTCCCAGATATCCTGCCGGCAGCCCACAAATTCCTTAGTGCTGTGTCCTCCTCAAGTATTTGGAGGTTTTAACTCAAAGATACCCCAACCCAGAGGTTGTGCGCGGTCCAAATTTTTTAATTAGACTTCCCTCAGAACTCTTACAGCCTTCCCCTCCCTCGGGAGTTTCCGCACCGAGATACACCAAACCGCCCTCACCATGATAGCATTGACGGTCTGAGAAGAGATCCAGATCTCCGCAGTCAGAAGGGAAGATCCCGATCTCCCGGTCGTCAGCCCTATAGGACGACCTACCGCCGTGATTCGGAGCAGATAGCTGGTCGCGTGTCGCGCCGATCCGCCTCCAATCTGACGTCCGCCGATCCATATGCAAGTGGTGCGGACCCGGATTCAAGTGAGCGGGGAGGGGAGGGGGGGGGGGTCTGCGTGACGGCGGCGCGGGAACGGTAGGGGGAGGGGGCGATAGGGCACGCGGCTTTCGGGGAGCTATGGGGGACAGTTCCAGGCAGCCCCTCCATAAATCAAGTGAACCGGATGAATCACACGGGGGTCGACGCTGTGACTCACAAAAGATCTCGGCGATAAACTTGGCCCTGGTGGTCGCCCCTTTCCCGTTACTAATAAGCCTGAATGGCCAGCGGAACAGCGGAAGCTTCAAAGATTAGCACACGACCAAAAACCGCACCTCGTTTGGGATAGTAAACATGCAGCGCGTCAGAGAGGCAACCCATCGAAACCGATGACTGATGACCGGCTAATAGAGCGACGGTGAGCCAATGACGTCATTATAAGCTGTCCGGGAGGAGCAGGTGATTGATATTAAGCGTAGTAGCCTGATTAGATCAATAATCCGAACTAAAGCCGGGCTGGCGCGCCCGTATGACCCCAGATGATAAACATGGAGCCAGAAGGCGGAGTGAGAGTCTGATTTACAGTCGAAGCGGCATATATCGAGCTGGGGCAAAGTAAACATTGATAAGTAGTCGCTTAGGTTAGGAAATTTCGAGCAAGAGCGAGATAAATTAGTTAACAAATTAGTCATTTTGACATAATTCCCCATTTCCTCCGATTCCTCTCCTTGTCCGGTCTTTGAGTTACCTAACCAGACGCAACGTCGAATTAATTCCATGTCACCAAGTCAGTAAACATAACTCTAAGTGTTCATTCAAATTTAACAATCATTCATGAACTATATCATCCATTTATAAACGTCTTTGACGTTTGCAAAACAATTACATGTAGGGCGCGGGGCTAAAATGTACGGGTAATGCACTGCAGTGATCGGTCTTGCTATGTCATGATGTAAAATCCCCACGAGAATAGTATGAATTTAGGAAGGGTATCGTCTGCGTTTTATTGAAATACACGCCTTCCCAAGCCCAAATTAGCTTCAAACAGTTCAAGCAACATTAGGCAAGTTCAATACGAATGAATAGAACGACAATATATCAATCTTTATTGCAGCGGCGCATTAAAAACTCCTTCCATGAAGCAGTACAGGAAACAATAAATTCTTCTGAACATATCACACGCCATTAGCAGAAAATAATGCATCGGGTCCATTCAGTTAACTTTATTGCCTGTTAAAAGCATACGACTTCAGCCCAATATACTTCATGCACTGATAAAAGTTGCCTCGAGCGCTATCACAACTGACAATCACCCACCTTCGTGGTTTTCTCCGAGTGTCCGTCTGTTGGACATGGCTCCGGCCTCTCTCCTCTGGCCGTGTCTGCAGCTCTCCCTCCCTCTCTCTCTCCTCGGTACGGTACCGCAGCGCCCACCGTCACGCCGCCGCCGCTCCGCCCGCCACACAACGCGCGACACACTCGCGGCGCTCCGTGCCGTACTGCCGCCTACCCGCGGCTCGACCCGGGCGACCAACAACCCCGCCCCTCGCCCCCCCCCCGCGCAGGCGCACTGACAAGCGCCGGCTACCCGCCAGCGGCACGGCGCCGCGGGCGCTGTAGATCGCAGCCGAGGGAACCACAGACACACTGGGGAGCATGGCCAACGCTTTGGCCAACGCGACGCCCACGCGCCCGCCTCAGAAGCGCGTGGACTTGAACAGAGAGGATGACCTTGACCGATTGTGTCGGAGGACATCCATCTCAGCGGAGGTATCGAAGGAGCTCTCTCGGAAGTCTAGCTCGGGTTTTGAGACGCTCCCGGGAGGGGACAGGGACAGTGTGCGAGGGGTTTCGCTCCTGAACGAGTAGGCTGGAGGAGGCTGACGGACGCTAGCGTACAGCTGCTCCATGGTGCTGTCGGACGCTGAGGAGCTCGTGGTGCTCTCGGAAGAACCAGACAACAGCGCTGGGAAAGAGAGGTGGTGTGGTTAATGCGACGCTAATACGACGCCCGTTTCTTGCAGTCGCGACGCTTTGAAGTTGTTTATGCTGTAAGTTATTGAAGTGGTGTGGCAATGGCATGGTAAACAGCCGCGATTTACCGTGGTGTCTGCGACACGGTCATGGATGGCAGAAAACATAAACATAACGAGCGTTTTTATTGGAGACGGAATATTTCCGGACACTGTAGTGCCGGATAAATCGTGTGACTAACCCCTTGCTGTAACTTTACAATATTTCCCACACTGAGACACATTATTAGATTTTTATTCCGTGTTCTGATTTAAAACTAGACTGGTCGAAAAAAGCTGTTAAAAACTGTGTCGAACTAACCCATCCTTCCTGTCGATAATAAAAGCCGAGGATTGGTGCAAGCAGCCCAGCCGTTTTTAATTTGCATTCTTTTTCAGCGTGACTCGCCAAAATTAATCTGGTTGAATAAGGACAGGTGATATAATGTTTCACTGCAATGCTCTTATAGCCGCGGTTACCGCATTGAATCTCTTGTAAAAAGTTTCTACAGCTCCGACTCGCCTCTGTGTCCGAAGTTGGCCGTGAAGCTGGTCGTCGCCGGCCGGCTGACGGGACTGGCGAACCGGTAGGGTTGTCTGACGGCCACCTCGTCCACTGTGTGCAGGACGTCATCACCCAGCTGGGGACTGCCCAGCCGGCTGGTCTCCCGGCTAAAGGTGCCCGTGTACAGGCTGGGCGTGCCTCCGCCGGCCACGCAGAATAACTGACCTGCAACGGACAGGTCACTTCATAGAACAGCAGTAAGATGTAAGATGTTCGATTGAGATAACATTTATTACTTTTATTCCAGAATAGCTGACCTGCAACGGACAGGTCACTTCACAGAACAGCAGTAAGATGTAAGATGTTCGATTGAGATAACATTTATTACTTTTATTCAATTTCTACTGAATAAAGTTTACAACATTCTACACCCATCGCTTTATATTTCTCTATCTTCCGTTACAAAAATTAATTTTGCTAAATCACCTGATATTCAGCTATTTTCGATGCATGACGAAAGCAAAGCCACATCCGTTTCACCATCCAATGTCGATTTCAGCTCACCTCCGGTTCTGGGCCGTTTTTTGTGCGCGCGCCACGTGCGCCAGCCAAAGAACAGAGCTGTGACGACCAGGACAGTGGAGACGAGGACGCCGAACACGATCCCCAGAATCAGCAGCAGACTGCTGCGGGATAAACAGCAACGATGACAGGTTATAGCCCGTGTGGGTGACAAAACTAATGATTATACAATACGCATTTCAAAAATCGATTCCGTTGGCTCTGTTGTTTATCACACAAGACTCTCTGAAAAATAATAAACAGGGAGGGAATGAGTAAACATGAGTCCGTGAGGTAGTGCTAGTGACGTAAAAAGGCAGCCTTAATTCAATCCGGAACACCCTATTGCCTATCACACATGACTAACTGAAAAAATAAACCGGGATACAATGAACAAACAGGAGTTCATGACGTATTGCTGTTGTCAGGTACGCATGTTCAGCCGCCAAGCATCACGTTTGAATGACAATAGTATGTCGTCATGTCTCAGTTATGAATAGTTTTGTGTATAGACCTGTCATGAGAAGCGCCGTCAAATGTTTCATCGACGGGCGGTTTAGCATCAGCTGCCAATGTGTCACCTGTCATCGACGGCCGATGACAGATACAGATGACACTAGCTGTCACTTTTCAAACCGTGGCCAGCGATCGAGGTTCTTGCATACGCTGATCGTATGGGGGCGATCGATGTAATGCCGATCTGAAGCTGGTTTGGGTGGGCCACTGGGCCAGTTAGAAGCCTCGACACCGGGTCTGACATGACAGGACGGGGAGACCCGCGTCTGGGGCCGGCGCAACGCTGTTCGCAGTGACAGGAGACACCTCTAGCGCTACCTTTAGAGTACCGCGACAGACTCCGGCCAGTACCACGGCACACCCGGCATGTTATCGGCGCACAATCTCGACGGGCACACGATCTCAGGAAGCACACCTGGCCAGTGGGCACTAGGCAGACTCGGCAAATCGGGAAGAGAAGTGTCGATTACCATGTATTTTGCTGACACGACACGTTAAACGACACAACTGCTGCAGGCTGGAAGTCATGTTGAACTGAATATACATACAATCTCTGTGATCAGATGTTAGATTAATAAATTATGAAACAAGCATCCCGTATCAAATAAGGTGCATTAATGCTTTGAGCAGAGCTCACTGAAGCCTGCTGAGCAAATCTTCTTGCTCGTTGTAACTTGTATGAATGGTAAGATAAGAGATCCAACTTGGCTGGTCTATCCGTTCGGTACCCTTTGATTCATATCTTATGACTCATCCATCGTTCAATACACCATGTCTATGGGATATTGGGTTGCCTTGTAATACCTTTCCGGGTCGGTCACCACGTTTTGGAATTCGATCGATAGCGGATCGCTCTAGTACGGCGTGTGACCGTAAAGTCATGGACCACCCATGTGTCCATGGCCCGTTTCGACCACGGCGCGTGCCAAGCGTTCCCCAGCTACCTTTGGTTCAGGCATCCGGTGCGACCGTAGGACCGTTTGGATCGAGAACGGTCCGAGATGCTGGTGGTCTATGACCTTTGTGGAACGCCTGGTGAGTGGGGAAGTCGCTCGGGTTTCCTTGTTCATAATAGCACCCGATGGTATTCACCAATTACCAATTACAGCAAACTATTGACGTTCGTTCCCGTTCTAGTTATAATATTGCAAGGAGGTAGTTATTTTCCTTCTCTCTCATCAGTCCTAATGAGGTCGCAGTTTGCAGAGAGCAGTGCCTATCGAACACGAATCTCTCTTGCGCACATCTCCAGCCCCAAGGATTGATGGATCCTGAGGCACACAGCACCCACACAAAAAGACGCATCACTTTCATCGAGGGTCAGGGGTCAGCGCAAAAAAACGACGGGCCGCTGCGTCAGCTTGATTGGGTCCGAACGATTGCACCCAATGACCCGGATAGTTCTCAGGGAGGCCATACGAGGTCACTGAAAGGAGGTCTCATCCTCTCGCTGTATGTCTAGGAAACAGCCTACATAATGGAGATAAGGGGAGGTAGCGCTTAGTGACAGCATGGCTAACACATCGAGGATTTTCAGGACTAGGACGGTAAATGCACCACCAAACGAATATCTGTCAGACATCACCACTCCTTGAAAGTGCAGCACAAGGTAAGGCGAGACACAAATGGTGCACATTTCACCATTAGGTGCGTGGCTAGCTGAGTGGCTGTGAGATGCGATATGCAGGAGAAAACGGAAGGCACTTTGTGGTTTCATGTAGGCGGTGGCTGGTGTGAGTACGTCAATTTGATAACACGAAGATAGCTTAGGTTGTACTGAGCCACGTGCACCCGTAATACAACGGGTGAGGGGTGAGGACATCACATTTGGAGAGGGTAAGTGACAATGAACCAGAGGCGGATCCAGCTCAGAGTTTTTTTTTTGGGGGGGGGGGGCAAACCATAACAATTTATCGATTCTTTCCATGCCTCGTCCATAGGCGTGATGTTAAAATTATGCCGTTTGGGAGGGGGGGGGGGCAAATGCCCATTATGCCCCCCTGGATCCGCCACTGCAATGGACCCATAATTCTGTTCGCGGCTCGCGCGATTTCTCATTTGTTGGCGCTCTTTCCTTGCTTGGGTATAAGGCCTATGTTTAGTTGAAAACAATTATGCTTTTGCGATAATCCATCAAAGCTATGCAACTTATTATCAGTAAATGCTACTGTGATGACACGTCACTATAGCTTCACTAACAAACCCGAACCCCGAACCCCGTATCCCCCGCTCTCCAGTCTGTATTGCTGTCGGGCCGGCGACCGCTGACCTGGCATTGGCTGGGACCGGCGCGGCGCCCCGCTCCGTCCCTCCCTCGACTGAGGCCGGACAGCAGTAGCGGTAGGTGGCCGTCCCACAGCAGTACAGAGGCTCAGCCTCGCCCGGCGGACACGCAAAGCCGTTGTTCCAGTTGCCGATGCTGTCAACGTACCCGGGACAAAACGGGTCCCGCAGGAGCACTGAAACAGAGAGAGGGGAGAGGGAGATAGAGGGGAGAGTGTCACTCGGTGACCTGCCACCAGCCGACACGGGTCCCCGACACAGGTCCCACAGGACCACTGACACACAGAGAGGGGGAGGGGGAGGGGGCGGTGACCTCCCCGGCCCGGTGACCGACGCGACACGGGCTCACGTGAGGCTGGACCGGCATGGTCTCACGTGACTGTACCGATACAGGTCCCATATGACCCGAGTACTGACGCCGACACGAGTCCCACGGGACCGGGCCGACACGTGCTATAGAGAGGGGTGGGGAAGTGACCACCAGAACAAAAATTGTGACTGGTGCTCGGAAGGGAGCGAAAAGGAGGGAGCGTGACTTTTTGCTGTCCGAGTCATTCAGCTTATGTGCACAGGCCATGCACAATAAACGTTTGAAGTTGGTATAGTTGAAAAATGCATAATGCATTTGGGGCATTCCACGTCAAATCGAACAAAAATCGGCTGTTTTGCACCTTACCATCAGCGATTTCATTATAAATTTGTGAGCGAGTTCCTGTGTCGCCCCGGACATTACATTGATGTTTTTTGCACATTCTGACCACAGGTCTTCTAAATATAGGGCATCAAATTTTTACAAAATGTTGCATCTTTATACTTTTTGAACGACCATAACTTTGGTTGTACTTGTTTGATTTGAATGAAATAAACCTTACTGTTTAGGTAATTTCTTAAGCATTTGTTTAGAATTGCATCGACTTAAATATATGACCTTGAAATTTGCTTAACTCTGTTCTTAAGCACAAAAATTGAAATAGCAGAAAACACGTCACCTTCGATTTGGCTCATTTTCATATATTTTATTGCCTACCATATTCTTAACAACCTGTGAAAAAATTAGAGTGGGCCATTCATAAGTTTGGAAGAAAATGGCACATATGCAAACGTATGTTAGCACGCGCAGTGGTGAGTGGAGGGGGAAGAGTGAATTTCGCCCCACCCCTCCTGTTTTTCGCCAATATCTCATAATATTGATGCGAAATTACTTATGGCTACCTGTCCAGAATTGAATTGCACATCTCATCGTGCAAGCAATAAGAAAATCGGTTCACAACTGTTCTAGTAATAGCGGTGTAAAGAGAACATCCTGTCGCCGCGGCGACGCGGCGACTCGGCAGCCGGCGCCGACCGCTACGCGCCGCCTGAATTGTAGACTGTGCCGGGACGGAACGGAACGGTTCCGTCTTTACATCGCGCTCCTTACCGCTGATTACGTTCGATTCGCGTCAAATTTTGTGAGAAGACTAAGAAATGTACAGGCAAGCTTATGGTGAAAGAATTCTGAAAATAGGTTGGTAAACAATTGAAATATGAACGTGTAAACACAAAATTGTGACTGCTGCGTTTCCCGCGTCGGCCGATCCCGCCTCAGCCGGCGACATGTTACTTTAGCAGGACTCTAACTGCCATATTTATTATCGGATTAACTAGAAATTCCCCATTCATATTCAAAAATGTATGTTCTTTCGTATAGTGAAGATCAAAAGACGTGAAGATATCGTTGCGTGATAATGTTTTCGTTGAATTTATTTCATGATGCATTTCCACACGGCTCAAAATTCACCGCAAAATACCGTTTGCCTGAGACACTTTTACAATGGAACGTGAATGTTTGACTACGATGACTATGCATTTCCATTCTCGCAAAGTTTGGGATATCACTTATCAGCAATCATTCATTTCAGGAAGTGTACACAAGCAAGCATGTCTTGACTCTGTATTTCAAGGCATGTCGGTTGCGTGATGTTGATGCATGAAAACGGCGTTTGCCGCGAACGTTATGAATGGCTCACTCCAATTTTTTCACAGATGGTTAGGAACATTGTGACGGACATAATATGTAAAATTACTCGAATCGAAGGTGGCGTGTTTTTTCCTATGTAAATTTTTCTGTTTTAATTCAAGGTCAAATGCATTTCAAGGTCACTTCAATTTAATTTTATAATTAAAAATCAAAGCCTTATTAATTGCCTACAAGACCCTGTTAATATCATTTTGATACCAGAAAAGGAACCAGAGTTGTAAGCATTTTAAAAAATGATGTGTGGCATTTTTGGCTATATTCGATGACCTATATCTCGGCGATACGTTATCAAATTTCGAAAATATTATACGTAACTCAGTTTTGAACCATGCCCAGTCTGCCTACAAATTTTCAGAAAAATCAAAGGGATGACGGATTTCGGTGTTTGATTTGACGTGGAATGCCCCATTTACAGTATTACCTGCATGGTGTCTAAAATCTAATTGTTCTTAGTCAAGAGAAGATCAAATAAAATTCAATTGGTATTTGGTGCTGTCACATCAAATCATCCGCAGCAAGTAGCATTTGGTCTTGGATAGTCGATTCAATTTCACCCAAATCCCGGAGACGACATCCCGCAGCAAGCTTGATTGACAGCTTAGATGGATTGCAGCTTATTCCATAAAACAATGTAAGTGCAGCTTAATCTTCATTGACATGAATAATGCAACCATTCGTACACAACGACGCACCAAACAATGTTGATAATCTTCGGAACACATCTATTTGAAAACCGGAAGTAATTCCTTTGTCGGCGCTACAAACACAATCAAACTGCGTCGTAATCGTCACCACGCCGTATCGCGCCATTCCCCGGCAGCCGCCCCATTTGGCCGACAGCTATTGGCTGAAGATTTGCATGTAAAGTGTCGCTCGCTAGGATCGCTGACTGGATCGTAGCTCCCCTGTTCTGGTGCGGCTGTTCGCACCCCCGTTATAGTCGGAACAGAACTGTCGGCGAGACCCGTACGCTGAGTGGAGTGCCTGTTGGTAACTGCCTCGCGCACTCTTTCGATTGCGAGAAAGGTTTGCTGAATTCAGGTCATAAGAGTGTCGGTGCCTGTTATGCAATCCGAGCATGTTCAATGTTAGTGTTACTTATCTTTTACTTTTTCAATAAAAAGTACAATTTGTCATTTTTCTATGAATTTGCTCTGATAACCTTTCGATCTCTTGTGTTTTCCCCTGTCATGTTTTATTGCCGGGGGAGTTTGATATTCATCTACATTCTCTGAGTTATCATTTGTTTCACGAGTGTGATAAGCAGAAGATGCCGCGAAGCACAGGCGGCGATTATGACATCATATTCACCGACTCGTGTCCTGGATTGTCTCCAGATGCGACAGACGCGCACACAGCCGCCCTAAGCGGCACAAAAACGATGGAGACAGATCGGTCGACGGTCGGAGACCCGGCGCCATGATGGCTGTCCCTGCGTGAAAAGGAGGAACGACGGTGGGATAATACAGACCGGCTCAGCCAGTCCAGAAAGGCCCCTCAGAGATGAATAAAGAGACGATAAAAATAAATTGTGTGAATAAATTATCACGACCGCTAAGCCGCTCGTGAATTACGAAGATGTCATGAAAACTGCATTTGCGATTCAACAGGGTCGTTTGAGTGACGGATAGAGGAAAGCTCTCGTTTTATTATGTTCATGGTGTTAGAAAGGATTTGATAGAAAGAGGTAGGAGAGGTAGGGGAGAAGCTGAAAAACCCTTAAATCTTCGATGCTTGATTGCGTACATTTCCTATGTCCATTTTGCTTTTTAAAACTAAGTTATTTTATTGCCTGTTACGGTAATTATTAACCATTTCCTTCCTATAAGCAGAGCAAATTAACCCGCGCCCTGCTGGGGGTCCTGGATTTCCACGCCCTGCTGGGGGGGGGGGGGTGTTTGAACACCCCCCCTTCTAACTCGGCTCCTGGGCCACGTAGCGATACGCGGAAGGCGGCGTTCGAAAGAGCGTCAAAAATAATGAGGAAATCACTTCGGTCCATTTTTTGGTCAGGTCAAAGGTCAGGTCACCAGAGGTCATTGAAGGCAAAATTTCGCCGATTTCCAGGTCGAATGTCGACAATTTCCAAGAAGCCAACGCATAACTCGGGAACCAATGGAGCTACAGCGCCGCGGAAAAGCGCATTCGATAGCCCTATTAGCGCCCTTTCTGAGTAATGTTCTCAGATTTGACCTAACGTCAACGGTTTTGCCTGCAGGGGGCAAAAACTGCAAAAATAGCCGATTTTTTCGGAAACAGTTTTTCTGCAATAACTTTTGACCCAAGCCTTGTACGAGCTTACTTTTACCGGCATCGTGTTCCTCTCGTCAAGACGCATCGAATGAACTATAAGTTGACCTTGAAAGGTCAACTTGAAAATTTGACCTCAGGTCAAGGTCATGACCTGACCGGAAAGGGTCATGTTGCATATCAGTCGATCCGTATCGTCGAGCTGAACACATCTAAGGCGTTTTCATCGCTCTAGCATGCCTCTATCAAAAGTTATTTGCGAAAAACTGTTAGATACCATTCGTGACCTAAGATGACCTCAGGGCATAAACAGGGGTCACCACGGACACCATTTTCATGTTCAGTGTATCTAAACCACTTGTAATTCAGTGTTTGGGAGTGTTTATAATGTCTTTCGTCCAAAAGAGGCGCATTTCAATTTTCTCCCATTGACTTATAATGGGGAGGTCGCAAAATTGACCTGACCTTAGGTCATCGACATCAAAATTCTGAGATATACATTTTGTACATGCTATTGCTCTTAGCAATCGCTGAAAGTTTCAAAGCGATCGGTCACTCGGTGTAGCTATGACAGACATTGAAACTTTTTATGAGGTGAGGTCACTTCAAGTGACCTGGTGACCTGACCTTGAATGACCTTGGTCTGAAATTTTCACAACATGTGTAGAATTGATGTATGATAAGTTGTACCAAAAACGGCGGCGCTCCACGCCGCCGTTTTTGAGATATTCGCGAAAAACCACAAGGGGGGTGTTCAAACACCCCCCCCCCCCAGCAGGGCGCGGGTTAATTAACTACGATGGTCAAAATCGACGACGATTAAAATCGCTTTCATAAAAAACACAATCTTGTACATTTGTATGTGACTACTAACGTCTCAGCACCATGGTCGGTTGCGAATTTTGG